AAAAAAATATCACATTATGTGACAATGGTCTTGCTTCAGAATTCATAATGAACTTTACAAATTCAATAATAAGGAAATAAAAATTCAATTTAAAAAAATCAAACATTCTAAAGATAGGGAGGAGAGCAAATACACACATGTAAAGATAATCAGTGTCAGTCACTAGGGAAATGCAATTCAAACCACAATGAGATACCACTACATACACATTAAAATTGCTAAAATTAAAAATATTGATCATACAAATTTTATCCAAAATATGGGAGAATTAGAACTGAAATAAACTACTTGGTGAGAAAGTAAGGTGATACAACCACTTTGGAAAATTGCTTAATAATTAAATATACTTCTACTAATTTTCCATGCATTTCATTTGTAGGTATTTACCCAGGAGAAACTAAAACATATGTTGATACAAAACTTGTGCACACATGTGATAGTAACTTTATTTATAATATCAAGAAACTGGAAACAATCCAAATGTTCATCAACAGGTAAATAGATAAAGAGTGGTATATCCATACAATATATTACTATTACTACTCAGCAATAAAAAGAACAAATGAATGACACATACTACAATATAGATAAATCTTAAAATAATTATGATGAGTGAAATAAACTAGATAAAAAAGCATATGCTGTATTATATAAAATTCTAAGAAATAAAAATGAATGTAAATAAATTTAGCACCCAGATCTTCACATATATTGTTTTCCAATAAATGGGTGATTCTTCAACTAAGGCAGGAAATACACAAGATGTGTCCAGAGTATCTTGTAATCCAAGAAAATTAAAAAAAAAAAAAATGCCCTGGCTAGTATGGCTCAGTTGCTTGAGCATCATCCCATGCACCAAGAGGTCACTGGTTTGATTCCAGGTCAGCACATATGCCTGGGTTGTGGGCTTGATCCCCAGTGTGGGGCATGCAGGAGACAGATGATCTATGATTCTCTCTCATCATTGATGTTTCTAATTCTCTTTCCCTCTTCTTTCTTCTCTGAAATCAATAAAAATGTATTTTTAAAAATAAAATAGCCCAGATGGCGGGCCTCAGTGGTTGAGCATCGACCAATGAACAGGTGGTCACTCTTTGATTCCTAGTTAGGGCACATGCCCAGTTGCAGATACAATCCCTACTGTAGGGCATGTAGGAGACAGCCAATCAATGATTCTCTCATCATTGATTGTTTCTTACTCTCTCTCTCCCTCTGCCTTCTTCTCTGAGATCAATAAAAAAAATTATTTTTAAGAATAATTTTAAAAAATAAAATAGCCCTAGCTGGTTTTGTTCAGTGGATAGAGCTTGGGCCTGCGGATTAAAGGGTCCTGGGTTTGATTCCATTTTTAAAGCGAGTGAGCTATTTGGTATGTGGATTATACTCATTAAAGCATCTTGAATGGATTGGAAAGATGAAAGCCTAAGAACAGCAATAACAGCATCCTATATAATAAAGAGATAACATGCAAATGGTCATTACACCATGACAGTAACAACCGATCATTAGGAGGTTGGGGCAGTGAGCTATGAGTGCACAGGGCCACTAGTTAATAATAATAAACTAGTTCACCTCTCTAGCCTCATCCCCTATCAATAATGGCCTCATTGCAGTTCATATCTTCCTATTTGAGGTCCTGTGAACATATTATATCTGCTTCTTGGAATTCTCTTTACCCCTCCTCTATGTGCCTAATTCTTTATTGTGGGGAGATGTTTCTCTGTTTTCCGTGTCCATCACGGAAAATGACAGGTTCCTGAATGGAGGAGCTGGGGATTAAGAAATGAAAGAAAGAGCCGAAACTGGTTTGGCTCAATGGATAGAGCATCGGCTTGGGGACTGAAGGGACCCGGGTTCGATTCCGGTCAAGGGCATGTACCTTGATTGAGGGCATATCCCCAGTAGGTGTGCAAGAGACAGCTGATCGATGACTCTCTCTCATCGATGTTTCTAACTCTCTATCTCTCTCCCTTCCTCTCTGTACAAAAATCAATAAAATATATTTTTTTAAAAAGGAAGAAAAGAAATGAGAGAAAGAAAGAGACAAGAGGCAGAAATAGATTCATCCAGCTGGGCGCTAGGGGGGTGCCATCTCTCTGATGGAGAGGCAGCACGGCAACCCCCCAAGCCACACAGCAGGTTTATTTTTAGGGTCAAAGGAGCCTATTTGCATTCTTAACTAGGCTCTAGCATTACTGGATTTACATATCCAGACCTGCCCCTGCTGACACCTGGACAGAGGTATTCTGCCAGTGCCTCAAGCTCAGCTAACAATTTAAAGAATGTCCATGTGCCTTCTCAGGCAGCCCTCTACACTTTATATCTAAAATTAGTCAGAGTAAGCAATTGCTGGAATCAATTCCAAAATCCAGTCACCTAACATCATATAGGTGGTATATTTCTCACTCATATAGACACTCCTCAGGTGATTCCGGGATCCAGGTTCTTTACCTCAACTGGCTTTGCCCATCCTGGAGTCTCTGTGTCTTCCTCTGTGCTCTGAACACCTGGCTGAGAGAACCTGTGGGGCATTGGCAGAGAGAGGACCTTGAGGAACTTTCCAAATGATTTACTCAGTTTTGAACATGGTATATTTCATATGATGTCAAGATACCGAATGGTCTTAAGTACAGTACAGAGACTGTTAGTTTAACTCTGTATCTCAAATATATTGCAGTAATCTCCCCCCCTCTCTCTACATCTTTATAAATTACAAGGTGCTATGAAAACTCAAAGATAATTCTTTTCAAGAATAACAATGTTGAAGAGAGAAAATTCTGTTCAGCATCTCTTTTAAGAAACTTATAATTTAGCACCAGGATACAGAGGTGGATAAAAGTAGGTTTACAGTTGTTTGTATGGAAAATCTATATATGTAAGAGGCTAATTGACTGACCATCCGTCCATCCAATTGCCTGACAAACTAGCAGGTACATATGATGCTCACTGACAATTAAAAAGTAAACGTTGCCCTAATCAGTTTGGCTCAGTGGATAGAGCATCGGCCTGCGGACTGAAGGGTCCCAGATTTGATTCTGGTCAAAGGCATGTATCTTGGTTGCGGGCACATCCCCAGTGGGGCGTGTGCAGGAGGCAGCTGATTGATGTTTTTCTCTCATCGATGTTTCTAACTCTCTGTCCCACTCCTTTCCTATCTGTAAAAATCAATAAAATATATTTTAAAACATAAAATAAATGCATGCATGATACATATAAAGCTCTCCCTGGTGCCAATCACAGGCTTGTGTTTTGACCTGTCACTGTCAATCGTGAATTTGGTTGATGTGTTGACATTTCTATTATAGAGAAAGGTCAAATAGGGATATTAAAATATTTCTTCTAATTAATTTCCTTTCAATGTGCACAAATCTGTGCACTTGGCCACTAGTAACACAATAATTAATAAATAATGGGACAAGAATAAACTGTTTTTCCCATGCTCACAATTGTAAACCCACTTTTGCCCACCCCAGTGTTCCCAAACTTTTGACATATGTGTACCCCTTCTATAATTTTCGTAATGCTGAGTGCCCCTGGTACTCATGAGAACGTAGAATTAGGCGCAGCTAAGCACGGTGCAGTGCATATCCCCAAACTCCGGTGCAATGCGTACCCCCACCAAACTCTTCCCGTACTCCTGGGGGTACGCGTACCACACTTTGGAAAACACTGGAAAGGAAACTTCCCTTAAAGTGCTACTTATTGAAAATTGGAATGAATTCCTCAGAACAAATTAATGACAAACAATACCCAAACTTTCCTTGTAGGTAGAGAGGTGTTGTCAGCTGTCTTCCACCCCCAGACCTCTGCCACATTGTCCAAGAGGAGCAGGACATGTTGACTGTGGTAAGAGAAACTGGGAAGTACTCACTTTTATGGAAGTCATAAGAGAGAGGGAGAACCTCATACATTATTTAGCATCATCCTTGATACATTTATTCTAAAAGATAATATAGCCAAATATCTCCGTCTATGTTAAATTGTCATAAAACTGAAACCCTGAAAATTCAGATGTGAATGGAATCCATTTGTTCCCCCCCCCCCCGTTAGACTGGGCATAATTCTTAATTGGTAGCACAAAATCTAATCCACTGAGGAAGTGCCATCTCACAGCACCTGCTATTCAGAGTGGAATTCAGACTAGCGTTTGGGAATGACCACGTCCAGAATTTCAGATTGGATCCATAACTGGGGGAGGGAGGGGCTTTGGGCGGGGCTTCCAGAAGGGGAGGAGCCGTTACTAGAAAGCTGTGGGGCCAGCTCAGAGCTGTCACTAACTCTCTCGAGGTAAGCCTTGTACCATTAGGGTGAGCGAGGATCCGGTGTGTGTGAGCGCAACCTCCTCAATGACAACGCTTCGCTGGGCACTGGGGTGGAATCTGCGAACCTCAGGAGTTGCTGGGGCTGCCCAGGAAAGTGAGCTGCAAGCGAGCTCTGTCGCCAACTACAGGGAGCAGGCAGGAAGGCTGCTCTCCCGGACCCCCGGCTGCACCTGAGGGGTCCCAGCAGCCTCAGGGGGGTCGGCGAGAAGGGACGAGGAGCGCGGCCAGGATTGGGGAGCGACGCGGCAAAGCACCGGTTTGAAGCTGGAGAAAAAGTCGGGAGATAGAGCCGCATCCAATTGCTTTGGAAGCTGCAGCCGCGACTTGTGAGTACTCTGCGCCTCCCGCCCTCAGACTGCATTTGGAGAACTCCCCTGGAGAAGTCTCCCGGTGGGCGCAGGAGCTCCCTGCCGTACCTGTCCCGCTCTGCCACCCGCCCAGGGACCGAACCACTGTCCCCTTCCCCCGCCGGCTGCATGGAGGCCAAAGGCAGTCGCTGACCAGCACCGCCCCCTGCTGACCCAGGAGGTGGCCATCTCCACCCCCACCAACCAACTCAACACCTATTTCTCCTCCTCCAGCTGCTCCTATAGCCCCGGGCACCCCCCTCCCTCCTCCTTCCGCTCTCCCTCCTCCCTCCCTAGAGTCAGGGGAGGAGAAAAGTGGAGTCAGGTCAGCATGACAGAGCTGAAGGCAAAGGCGTCCCGGGCTCCCCACGTGGTGGGCGGCGCGCCCTCCCCCAGCCAGGCCGGCTCTGCGCTGCTGGGGCGCCCGGACGCCGGCCCCTTCCCGGCCGCGGGCCAGACCCCGGCCGCCGCCGCCGCGCCCGGCTGCCTGGGCGGGCTGCCCTTCCCTCGGCTCTGCCGGGGGCCCGACCCAGACCCTGACCCCGACGGCAAGGCGCTGTCCCACGCGGAGGGCGCGTATCCCAGAGTCGGAGCCACAGGAGGCGCCGGGAGAGCCCCCGAGAAGGACAGCGGGCTGCTGGACAGCGTCCTGGACACGCTGCTGGCGCCCTCGCCCTCGGGCCCCGGGCAGAGCCACGCCAGCCCTCCCGCCTACGAGGCCGGCGGCCTCTGGTGCCTGTTTGGCCCCGAGCTCCCCGAGGGACCCCCGGCGGTGCCCGCCGCCCCGACCGGCGCGCTGCCCGCGCTCATGAGCCGCCCGGAGAGCAAGGCGGGCGGCGACGGCGCCTACAGAGCGCTTCCCACGGGGCTGTCCCCGAACCGGCAGCTGCTGCTGCCCTCGGCCTCCTCCTCCGGCCACCAGCCCTGGCCCGGGGCCCCGGGGAAGCCCGCCGCGCTGGAGGTGGAGGTGGAGGAGGGGGGCTCCGGGTCCCCGGGCGCGGTGGCAGCGCTCCTGAAGGGCAAACCCCGAGCCGAGGGAGGAGGCGCCGCCGCCGCCGCCGCCGGGGCCAGCGCGCCCGGGGCGGCCGAAGGAGGCGGCGCCCTGGTCCCCAAGGAGGATCCCCGCTATCCGGCGGCGCCCCCCCGGGTCGCCCTGGCGGAGCAAGAGCCGCCGCCGCTGCCGGCGGGGCCCGGGCGCCCCCCGGTGACCACCATGGTGATGGATTTCATCCACGTGCCCATCCTGCCCATCAACCCGGCCCTGCTGGCCGCGCGCACCCGGCAGCTGCTGGAGGGGACGGACGGCTCGGACGGCGGCGGGGTCAGCGCCTTCGCCCCGCCGCGGGGCTCCCCCTCGGCCTCGTCCCCGCCGGGCGCCGCGGGCGACTTCCCCGACTGCGCGTACCCGCCCGAGCCCGAGCTCTACGGCGACTTCCAGCCGCCGGCGCTGAAGATCAAGGAGGAGGAGGAGGGCGCCGAGGCCGCCGCGCGCTCCCCGCGCCCCTACCTGGGGGCCGGCGCCGGCCCCGCCGTCTTCCCGGATTTCCCGCTGGCGCCGCCGCCGCTGCCTCCTCCTCCGCGGGCGCCGTCCTCCAGACCCGGGGAAGCCGCCGGAGCCTCCGCCTCGTCCTCGGCGTCCGCGTCCCCGTCGGGGTCGGGGTCGGGGTCGGCGCTGGAGTGCATGCTGTACAAGGCGGAGGCCGCGCCGCCGCTGCCCGGCCCGTTCGCGCCGCAGCCCTGCAAGCCGCCCGCCGCCGCCGCCGCCGGGGCGGGCCCCGCGCTCTACCCGCCGCTCGCCATCAACGGCATCCCGCCGCTCGGCTACCCCGCCGCCGTGCTCAAGGAGGGGCTGGCGCCCGTCTACCCGCCCTATCTCAACTACCTGAGGTGAGGGCCCGCCGGGGGGCGCCCGCGGGTCCCGGGTCCGGGGGAGCGGCCCGCGCCCCGGCCCCGCGCTCCGGGCACCGCTCCCCCCAGAGTGGGCGCGGGAGGCTGGGGGGCCGGGGCGGGGCGCCGCCGCAAATGGGGCTTCCTCCTTTCTCTTCCGTCCTAGGCTCTGTTGGGGGGGAGGGGGGGAAGCACAAAGGGTGCCATTTGGGGAGCGTGCCTCCCGAAAACATTTTTTTTTTTTTTTTAATTCCAAATAGGAGAGGTTCCCCCAGGCAGGACCAGCCCTGATGTAAGATGTGCAGCGTCACACTGGCTCTGCGGGAGCCGCATGGGGAGGAAAGGGTGCCCCGAGTTGGGGGGGCTGTGTGATGATGTTCTCCTCTTAGGACTTTTTCCTGGAAATGCCCGTCTTGGGTTGGAGAGGGTCCTCAGGACGGTCCCCGGGGCACCTTTCCCCCTGCACAGTGGCACCTGATGGAGGGTAGCAGCCAGAACCGTTAGGTATTCAGAGGAAAGTTAAAGTTAATGTGTGTAAGATGCTTAAATCAGGGAGTTTAGTATCCATCGCTGCAGTGCGGTGTGTTCCGATATTGGTTTGGATTCACTACAACTTTTTCACACAGGTTTAAAAAAATAAACTGTAACTTACATACTGAGGGAATGGGATTTTAAAGAGAGAGAGAATCTCAAGTGCTGTGAATAGTCAAAACGGTGATAATGTGTTGAACAATACCTTAAAATGACACAGAAGCTTGTTTGAGTAAACAATCAACACAGGGTTGAGTTCTAAATCTCAAATTAAAAGCACTGGTAAGCACTATTGAGCTTTCCTGAACAACAGCAACAACAACAAAAATGTATGTTACCTGTTGTTCTTGTGCCTTAGTACTACTGATGAAAGGCTAATCATCTCTAAGTCTGATCAATCAAATAAGGGGTTTACTTTACAAATTTAACTTGCATGTCTTTTAAGGGTGTACATGATAGTTCTGTTTCTTAAAATCCCCATTTCATTCTGTCCATCCTGGGGTTAAGAAAACTTTGGTATTCGATAAAGTTGCACCTAAAAATAACTGGAGTGCTTTGTTTTGCGTTTCAAGGCCAGATGCCGAAGCCAGCCAGAGCCCACAGTACAGTTTTGAGTCATTACCCCAGAAGATCTGCTTAATCTGTGGGGACGAAGCATCCGGATGTCATTATGGTGTCCTCACCTGTGGGAGCTGTAAGGTCTTCTTTAAAAGGGCCATGGAAGGTAGGCTCCTTTCCCCTGACCCTTTATGGTGGGTCCAACTGTAAATGGAGACCATCTAATATGTTATAGATGTCAGGTATCACTTCCTTCTAAGAAATGGAGACATTTTCATTAATTTAAAATATGCTTTCCATATTGTTTTTCTTTATAGTACTCAAAGTTGAATGTAGTTGGATATTGTAATTGCATACTATTTGACTAGCATTTTCAATATTAAGCACAAGTCATTAAGCACTGGGAACAATGCTGTTTTTGTTCATTAACCATTTTGCTTTAGAGAAACAGTTTTGTTCTAATTATATATTTATATTACATGTAGTATATATTAAATTTTTGGTGAAAAGAAAAATGATAAAAATCAAAATTATATAATGTAATTGTATATGTATATATATACATATATATGATGCAGTTACAAATTTTCTACATGATTTTGTCTTTTCCCTACATGAATATTTATGTAATAGTTGAAGAATGGTAATTCTAAACAATTTAAAAACATTTTTGTTTAGGATATTTTTGTAAGTGTGTGAGAAAAGAGGAGTAAACAGTTTAAAGAAAATGAAAGATTTGGATACCACAATAATATAGTTTTTAAAGAAGTATTTTGCTTTAAGTCATATTTTCATATTTTAATGTCATCCATATTACATGTGTATCTAATGATTTTGAACTGGCTTGCACAGTGTATTTCCAATTTGTGCTTTCATAGAAAATGTTGTTTAATTTGTTTTTCTAGCTACACTAAGTGCTAAACAGCCACTCACATTTATATTTGAAGATAAAACTACATTTAAAGAGCATTTCACATTTGAATTCTAACAATAAGTATTTTATAATGAGCTGAAATGAGTTTAGGGTTACCTCTGGAGTTCTGAGGTCACACACTTAGACAAGAAACCAAAGATGTAAATGTCTGCTTTCTATTGAGTTTTTGAATTTCAAGAACCTTGTATTTATAAATAGGAAAGGAGGGAGTGGGGAATTTTTATCTGAAAGAGGCTATATATTTACACCAAAGTAATTCTAAGTGACATTTAACCACAACAACACAGTTCCCTAAAGTAGCCTAACAGGTGATCCTTTGCACCTATTATGCCTTTTTGATGAAAATGATTCTCAACTATTTATTCAGAGATTTTTACTCCTCCTACTGAAATTAGTTCTTCATAAAAGTATTTGCTTTGTATATTACTGGAATTTTTTTCCCCCACAAAGGATGGTGAATGTATTTAACTGATGTTGAACATTATGCATTCAGGTTCAGGGGTGTTTGATTGCATTATAAAATTAATTGAGGGACAGGGGAAAGGAGCACATGAGAAAATGGGACACCTAGAGTGGCCTTAACTTTCCCATTGCCATCTTTAATCCTAGTTACAGATGAAGTCCTTTGTGTGGAACAGTCAGCTCTCCAATGCATATTTGGAGTTACTGTTCCCATCCTACTTTGGTTCTGGTTTTCTTCTGCATTAATATATTTTCCTTCATTCTTACAGTCACTCTAGAAAATACTCATTTTATAAGTGAATGGCTGCTTACAGTTCCCTAAAGGTCAGTTTATTTTAGCTCAGCTTCCTCTTTTTACAGATAAGAAATTCCACATAAATCTGAGTTTCCAAAGGGCACACAAATAGTTAACAGCTGATTGTTAGTCAACATAGACATTCTTTACTTGCAACCCTTCTTTTTCAGAGATGGTGTGCACAGGTAGCTATATGATAAATGATACTTAATTTTTGGAAGTTACTTCAAAAAGTTCTATAGAACCAAGTGTTCCCTAACTAAGTTACAAATGCTTTCACACCATATTATCAGACTAGCATCCAAAACCATAAAATAAAAAAAAATGCCTTCCTAAATTTACTCTTAGAAAGCATTTGTTGGAGCCCTAATTTTGGCATGTCCTGTTGTAGTCTTGAGTAGTAGAAATGAAGCACCTTTATGTGGCAATATTTACAAAGAGGAACTCAAGATAAATGTTGATACCTCCTTCATATAATAAAACTAGAGCAAGATTATAAAACTGTATGAGTAAGTTCATTCCCTCGGCGATTACATACATCTTATGTTTATATCTGGGCCAAAAGTATTTTCTTGCCTTCACCTCCTCTGCCTTAGACATAAAATGAGGATAAAGGTAGCTTCTTCTTAAGGTTGGTATAAGGATTCAACAAGTCAATCACCATGAAGTTTTAAAAAGAACGCCTATCACATTGTCAGCTTCAACTGTTGGTGTTTTTACCTTCAAGTAGCTAATAATAGAGTGGACGAGGTAACATATATGCATGTAAAATAGAGATTCTCACTAAATGCCCAGGTAAGCAATTCTGTAAAGTATATAGGATTTGTGAGTTTGTGGGTCTGGGCAGGGGGAAAGGTGGTCGTAGGATGGAATGTGTATGTTCTAAAATGGTAGGAAAGGGCTTCCTGGGATTTAGTTATTAAAGGACAAGTAAGATTATCAGTCTCTGGACATTGAAAGATTTTATGAGTCTGTCTTTGAAGAAAAGAGAAGAGATTAAGATTAGACTATTTAATCAGGACTCATAGTAGGAAATTTTGAGAGTTAAGGCTTGCCAAGTTAGGTTGCTAATGTTTGGAATAATCTGGAGAGAATTAGTGATCTAAGGCAAGAGAAAATGTTCTGGGAGTTCTCAAAAGTGAGAAGGCTAAGGAAGGATTTTTTATAGTTAGAGAGAAATGCAACATTTGAAAGCTTGGAGTAAATTAATTGTTGCAAGGTAGAATCATGTGTGGATGCCAATATGTCCAGAAGTTGAAAGTCAATAGCTAAAATTTAGATATTCATGTTATCAAGGGTCATCATGATAATGGCATTTTAGAGTGGATTCTAATGTGCTAGTAATTATTTAAGTGTTTTATGGGTCTTAACTCATGTAATCCTTATAATGTAGATGTTATTATTACTCACTTTACAAATGAGAAAACTAAGGTGCAGAGATGTTAAATTGCCTTAATCGCAGTTAAAGTGTTAGTCAGGATTCAAATCCAAATGGTGTGACCCCAGAGTCTGTGCTCTTAACCACTGTACTTTCTTTCCCATACTAGCAAAGGTATTTTAAATTTCAAAGAAAAAAACAGCAACAAGTAGTTGGAAGAAAATATATGAGCCAGGTGATAGATCCAGGAAGGTAAAAGTGAATACTATAGAATAATCTGAAACCAGGGGTGATTAGAAGTAAGTAATATAAATGGGTGGGTGATACTAACCTCACATGTAAGGCAGCAATGAGAAAATGTGGTCAGGGTCCAAGAGACTGTATCCCCACCTGTCCTCCAAGTTAGGAGTAGGAGATGATAAAGCTTATAAAAAAGTCACCCAGAAAAACAGGGTGGCTTTCCTTAGTATGAGATAAAAGAGGGAAGAGGCAGAGTAAAAAGGAAACCACTCAAATAGTCGGAATATGGGGCAGGGAGTGATGACTTGTTCTAAGCTAAAAAAGAAAAAAGGATTAGTCAAAAAGCAGTAGGTTGAATTGCTCTTTGCATTTCTTTACTATAAGATCAGGAAGTAAGTGGTTAAGAATTGCCTTGAGACCTTTCAAGGAGATAAGTCATAATGACCTGTTGGTCCTACAAATGCAGACTAGTGTGACCTGGCATTAAAAAGGAAAGGATAATTTCTCATTGAATTACCTGCCTATGTACTGTGACTGGTGCCATGCTAGAAACACACTAAATATTCAATAAATAATTGTTTGCTAAATAAACCAAGCATCATAACTGATGCCAAGCACTTAATTCTTGGACTCTATAACAGCATTTGTAGTGAATACATTTCATGGAATATTGTTGGACAAATACTATAATACAGTTGAAAGATATTATTTAGACAATACTAAGCTAAGTAAGTATTGATGGATTTCAAATTATATCATCTTATTATTCTCATTTTTTTCTAGTTTTACTTAGGTATAATTAACAAAAGTGTATTTAAAGTGAAAACATGATAGTTTAAGTTATATATATATATATATATATACTGAAAATCATGCCCCATCACATTAATTAACACATCTATCACCTCACATATTTCCTTTTTCTTCTTCTTTTGGGCAAGAACATTAAAGCTCTATTCTCTTAGCAAATTTTAATTATACAGAACTGTATAATCGACTATAGCCACAGTGTTATACATCAGTTTCTAAGACCTTACTTACCTTGTAACTGAAGGTTTTGCCAACCTCTCCCCAATTCCCTCACCCTCTAGACCCTGGCAGCCCCTTTTCTACTCTCTATTTCTGCGAATTTGACTTTATTTCACATATATGTGATATCACCTAGTATTTGTCTTTCTCTTTCTGCCTTATCTCACTTAGTATAATGTCCTCTCAGTTCATCTTTTTGTTGCTTTTTGTTCATGTATTCATTAATCAAACATTTTTGGAGCACCTGCCATATGCCAGACTCTATGCTGAATGCAGGTTGAAATAGCAGTAAACCAGCACAGTCCTGGTGAGCTGCAGTTTCCGTGGAGTTTATAATATAGTGGAGGAAAGTGACATTCTCTCAGCTAGGATGTACATGCAATTGCCCGGACAACCAGAGAATTGACTCCTCTGTCAGAATCTGGGGACGATGGTAAAAGCCTTTCAAAATTTAGAGAGACTCCATTATCTATAGACCATAGAGGAAACTGTACAGAAATTACGTATTTGTTTGCTCTTTCACTAATACCACACTGTCTTGGTTCCTGTAGCTTTACAGTAAATCTGGAAGTCAGGTAGTGTCAGTCCTCCAATTTTATTCTCCTTCTTCAGTATTTGTGTTGGCTAATTTGAATCTTTTGCCTCTCTATATAAACTTTACATCAGCTTGTTAATATCCATAAGGTAATTTTCTGGGATTTTTGGGGGGATTGCATTGAGTCTGTAAATCATATTGGGAAAAACTGACACTTTAACAGTATTGATTTTTCCTATCTATGAACATGGACTATCTCTCCATTTATTTATTTATTTTATTTAATTCACAAG